TCATCATCATCATCATCATCATCATCATCATCATCATCATCATCATCATCATCATCATCGTCTGCACCATCATCATCATCATCATCATCATCATCAGCATCCTCAGCAGCATCAACAACAACAACATCATCAGCATCACCATCATCAGCATTATCAGCATCATAATCGTCAGCACCATCATCATCATCACCATCATCATCATCAGCATCCTCATCGTCATCTACAACAACATCATCATCACCAGTATCATCATCACCAGCAGCATCAGCATCATCATCATCACCACCACCAGCATCATCATCATCACCACCACCACCATCATCATCATCAGCATCATCATCATCATCATCGTCATCATCAGCATCAACATCAGCATCATCATCATCCCTCCTCATCCTCCCCCTCCTCCTCCTCCTCCTCATCCTCATCATCATCATCATCATCATCATCATCATCATCATCATCATCATCATCATCATTATTATTATTATTATTATTATTATTATTATTATTATCATTATCAACATCATCATCCCCCTCCTCCTCCTCCTCCTCCTCCCCCTCCTCCTGCTCCTCCTCCTCCTCCGCCTCCAGCGACATGTCGGCACAAGCTTTCGTCGATCGCTCGGTGGTGTCCGGTCGTCACACATGCAAATGTTTTACTATGTTATCCCGAAGTGAGGGGAGATGTCGGGGGCCGCCACCAGATCGAGATGGCTGCGGGTCTCGGCCTTCAACCCCCTGAGCGCGAATCGGGCCGACCGCATCGAGTAGCTAGAGTTCAATTTCAGGGGCTTCGACGTGTCGATGCTCATAGGTACGCAGCTGAGGGCTCCAGCGGACGGCCAGGTGACGAGGAAGAGAATTGGAAAATCTATTCTTATCCAGGCGGGTTGGCTCCCAGGACTGTTACAAACAAGGCTGCTGGGTGTTCGATCCTCCTGGGACCTACGCTGAAAGAAACCAACATCGTCGGCCATCCGCTTCTGCCTCCTCGGTCTTTGCTCGGTCGGGGTCTGGGACTTCGCCTCAAGCTCAGTGGTCTCGATATCCTACCCATTGCCGCATCTTTCCCTCCGAAGCCGAGAACGCTGGCCGCCAGGCCGAACTACTTCAAGACGGTGGATCGACTTGCAAAGTGGATCAGCGACACGCTGAGGAGAGCACGTGGTAGGACCACGCCGATCTTAGCGGTGGATTTGAATGGTGGGATGGGGATCGAGGATGAGGCGGGCTGCAATGGTTTTTCTGGAACTAGTGTACTTCGAGAACCGGTCGCTTCGAGGGAACTCTACCAGTTCGGTTCTGGGAAAGTGCTTCGGAAGGTCCTAGAGGAGTTTGACTTTGTTTTCGTTGACGGAGGGCACCCCTTTACCCCTACTTGGAACGGGCCTCAGGGTGAGCAGAAGAGTCTTGATATGATGTTCGTTCCTCGTGCCTTTGTGGACCACTTGCACAAGGCTGGTGTGCTCCGCAAGCTTGGCCGAGAAGTGCAGCAGATATGTACGCGCAGTCCACGAGATCATGTACCCATACATGCAGCATGGAAGATATATTTCTTGCCTGGGGGAAGGAAAGTTGGTAGGTGTAGATGGGATCTTTCTTCTCTCATGGCAGCTCTTACGCGAGGGACTCGCCGTCAAGAGCTAATTGCAGCAGTTGAAGGCGAATTCGCTGAACGAGAGTGTGAGCTCGTGAATCTATTGGCTCAGCCTACTCCCGACAGCTTCTTTGAGGTAGTGAATGAGATATTGAATCGACGCGGCCTCGAGGTTTTTCGCGCAGAGCAATCTGATTCTAGTTCGCTGGCTGATCGTCGTCAGAGACGTGAGGATCTTCTCCGTCGCAGACGAGAGCTTCGCCGCAAGCTGTCGTTCACCACCGAGGATGAGGAGGAGGATGTACTTCAGCAGCCAAAGAAGGCCACGGCAGCAGCACACAAGGAGCGAAGGTCACAATGGGCGGACAAGCAGCGCATGTATTTAGAGCTATTGCACGATGCATGGCGAGATCGCCGCTTTGCGGAAGCACACCAATATTCTAGATTGGCTTCTGGCTCTTCTTGGGGCATTAAGAAACGGAACTATTCGCATGTGCAAGGCTCTGCACTTACTGAGGAGGAGTGGATTGATGTTTGGAAACCTCCTGGGGGTGAGGGAGGCATGTTATCCAGAAAAATTGAGCTTCAAGACTACCGCACGCGAAGCTTCAGAATGCTTTTCCCTGGCTAGGTAGATGGACTGAGTATCTGGAGGAGGCGGAGGAGGAGCTCAAAGGTATCATTGAATATTTGAAACGGGCCCCAAAACGGAGAACATGTCCAATTGATTCCGTGCCGCTGGAGATTTGGCTGATGCTGCTCCGACCAAGAGACCGACTGGCTTTTCAACTTGCAGGGGCCGGTTGGGTTTCCCAGACTCCTGGTCGTGATGCACGTGTTTTTCGGCAAGCTATGTTACGCGGATTTGCCAAGATTCGAGCCTCGATGCGAACGCCAGTTGCCTAGAACCGCAGTCAAGGTGTAGCTCTACACAAAAAGGCAGTGGATGGGGCGACGGGGAAGAGGG